CGACGACGGCGCCGCCTCCCCTCCGCCTCCTTCTCCTTCTCCTCCTCCTCCAGGCGCCGCTTCCGGATCCGGAGGGAGGCCGCGAACGCCGCGGCCACCGGCTGCTGCCGCTGCTGCCGCTGCACCCGGGAGGCGGGGGGCGCCCGGCCCTGCTCCTCCGCCTGCAGAGGTTTCCCCTCCAAGGCCGCCCGCCCCCCCCAAAAAAAACCCCCACTCCGGCGCCCTCCCCCTGCAGCCCCGGGGGGTGGGGTAAAGGTAAAGGTTTCCCTTTCTCAAAAGCCAGTCGAATCCGACTCTAGGGTTGCGGTGCTCGTCTCCGTTTCCAAGCCGAAGAGCCAGCGCTGTCCGAAGACGTTTCCGTGGTCATGTGGCCGGCATGACTAAACACCAAGGCGCACGGAACGCTGTTCCCTTCCCACCGAAGTGGTCCCTATTTATCTACTTGCAATTTCTTGCTTTCGAACGGGGGGGGGAGTGGCAACTCCGGGTCGGGCCCTCGGAGCCGCGGGATGTGGGGCTTTGGAGAGGCGAGGGGCCCCGGGGCGGCCTGACGGAGCCAGGATTGCGTGGCTTGTGGGGCAGGTTTCTCCTCCTCCTTCGAGTGGGGCTGCCGCCGTTTGCCGTGATGAAAGGGGGGGAGAGGCAGGGGTCTCCACCAGCGTTCCCCCCAGGCTGGGGGGTCTTGGGAGCAACAATTCTACTCGGGGAGCGACTGGCATGAAAGTTGTGACTCGCAGGGTTCCCTCTAAGCTGAGGGAGTGCGAGCTAGCCCACCGGGTTTTTTTAGCCTCTGGCCCACACGTTTTTGTTTTTATTTTAGCCTCCCCTCCCCCCCCCGGGGGGATTTTTTTATTTGCATTTTCTATAAACTACAAAGAAAACAGGGAGGCGCATCTACATATTATAGATGAAAGTAAAGAAAAACCTCTAAAACCCCAAGAGATAAGAACATAAGAGAGGCCAATGTTGGATCAGGCCAAAGGCCCATCCAGTCCAACACCCTGTGTCACACAGCGGCCAAAAATACCAGGGGCCATCCTGAGGTCCACCAGTGGGGCCAGGAGGACACCAGAAGCCCTCCCACTGTTGCCCCCCCAAGCACCAAGATGACAGAGCATCCCTTGCCCCAGTGTCCCTATCTATACCTTGTGGCTAATAGCCACTGATGGACCTCTGCTCCATAGGCTTATCTAATTCCCTCTTGAAGCCGTCCATGCTCGTAGCCGCCACCACTTCCTGTGGCAGTGAATTCCATGTGTTAATCACTCTTTGGGTGAAGAGATGGTGGTCATATACATTGCTCATACCATTAGCTTAACATTTATATAAGCTTATACTTAGCTACCTTAAGTGAGTACAAAAATCTTCATGCTTTTGCTAGTCTCCAACAAATCTATATAAAGAGCTCTATAAAGAAATGCTTTTACTTCAATTAACAAAGAGTCCAGAGACGAATAACAACACATTTTTTTATCCTTTTTGCCTAGTTTGGGGGCTAGCTCTCACATTTTTGTCTTGGCTCAGGGAGGAGGGCTCCAGAGCAAACTAATTGATGCAGCAGCCCAATCGCTCGCTCACCACTTTAATGCCAGCAGCTCACAAAGGAAAATTTTTGCTCACAGGACGCCACAGCTTAGAGCTAGCACTGTTTGTGAGCGAGCAATTTGGCTACTGCATAAATCCGGTTGCTCTGGAGCCCTCCTTCCTGAGCTAAGGCAAAAATGTCTGAGCCAGAGGCTAAAAAACTGTGAGCCAGCTCACACTAACTCGGCTTAGAGGGAACACTGGTCTCCAACTGATCAGCTGGAGGACCCTTTAAATCTTGCAGGAGGGGAGGGAGAGGGGAGCACCCCCCTTTCTTCTCAAAAGCATTGAAAGGATCCCTTTTGGGAAGAAGCGGGGGCCGGTCCTTTAAGGAGGAAAGCAGAGCCCACCGAGCCCCACAGGAGTTAGTGTCAGGTCTAATGCCAGAGAGGCCACCCTGCAATGGGTGTGGGAGAGGGGGGCGCATGGGGGGGGGGGGGGGAGATGTGTTGCCAGGGTCTGTCCTCCAAAGCAGCCATTGTCTCCAGGGGGGCCGGTCTCCGTGGCCTGGAGACCAGTTGCCATTCCAGGAGAGCTCCAGGCTCCACCTGGAGAGTGGCAGCCCTAGCAGCCAGTCTGAGGCTGCCTCAAACCTTCCCCACTGAATCAGACCAAGTGACCCAGCTAGACCCACATACTCTGGCCACGGAGGGACCATCTTGGCCAGTAGCCATTGATGGACCAGTCCTGAACCTAGATAGAGCCCTCCCTGAAAGCCATCCTCAACCTAGTAGCCACTCCGCCATTTCATCACCCAATAATACCTATCCCTCAACTTGTTTGGGTGCCCCCAAGTTCTAGCATGAAGGGACAAAGAGAAGTTTCACTCCACCCCATTTTAAAAAAAGAACAAATAAACTGATGGGTAAAGAAAAAGAGGGACAGTAGATGACCCAGGCCTTTGCTTGGGGTGGTCAGTAATGCAGGTCATTCTTGCAACTGGGAACAGGGCAGCATGCCAAGCCGGAGAGCGGATGAAGCCCCGTGGATGCACCCGGAGTGGAAACAGGTAACTGGAGAAGGCCTTACAGGCAAAACACACCAGTCTACAGCTAAGCACAGGTGAGATGGAAGGTGACGCAGGCTGTGGAGAAGACTGCTCTTCTCTCTGCGGAAACAGGTCCCCCTCGCACCGACATGTCCTGTGTGTTGCCATGTGAATGACACCACAGTTTGGTTTCCCCAGTTGCACTGCTGTGGATAAAAGCCTACCTCCACTAGTCACCCAGGATAAGCCACACAAATATGGATCCAGTTTGGCCTCCTCTGCTGCTCAGTGCTGGTACCGTTGCAGGCACAATTCACTCTACCCGGGAAGAAGCAAGGCCACAACATATGTCCTCCTGCCCTTTAGTCTGTCTAAATGCAGTTCTGACCCATTAGAGCAGAACAACCTTCACTCCTGTAGGTTTATTTATTTACTAGGGAAAAGGCCCGTTGTGGAAATAAATACAACGGCCTCTAGAAATAGGCTCTGGGCGGGAGTCCCGGCCTTGGACATTCAGTGTCAATTTGCTGTGGCAACCTCAGCAGGGTACTAACCAGGCCCGACCCTGCTTAGCTTCCGAGATCGGGCGTGTTCAGGGTGGTATGGCCGTAGGCAGCCTCAGCAGGGTATAATGATATGAGTCCACCATTTTCTCCAGAGGAACTGATCTCTGCGACCTAAAGAACAGTTGTAATTTTGAGTGGTCTCCAGCCCTCACCTGGAGATTGGCAACGATGGTTTCCCAGAAGGGAATTGTTGGTTTGGAGGGCGGAGTCTATGGCTTTGTACCTGTCCGAGGTCCCATGCCTCCTGAAACCTCACCCTCTCCAGGCTCCATCCCCCACATCTTCAGGGATTTCCCACCTGGAGTTGGCAACCCTATATCCTTCCAAGCCAACCATCAACCTACCTTTATTTCCCCCTAACCCTTCAGCTTTCCACCCCCCCACACACCTGCAGCTTCTCCCGTGCTCTGAAGCCCTGACTGCTACAGCTGTCATACGGGGGCCGCCTCAGCAGCATATAAGGATACAGAGCCCACCATTTTCTCCAGGGGAACTGATCTCTGCCATCTGGAAAGCAGTTGTAATTCTGAGTGATCTCCAGCCCTCACCTGGAGATTGGACACATTTTACCTCAGAACAGCAAAACTGTTTAGAATGTTAGAGGCAAAAGCCAATCAAGTCACATATGCAAACGACCTCTGTGTTCCGAGGCAGAGGCCAATGAGGCTGCATATGCAAATAACCTCTGTGTTCTGACTGGCTATGCGGGGGAGAGGAACAGCAAAATGTTTAGAATGTTGGGGGCAGGACTCAGGCAAAGCAGCCAGTGGATAGGGAGACCCTCTGAGTGACAGATCAGAGAGCGAACTGATTTTGGAGCGTGTGGAATGTTCTAGAGAAGTGCCGCCACCATTCGGCTTTTATTTATAAGGGAGATACCCCGCCTTCACCGCAATGCTGGCTCAGGGTGGCTCACAGTCAGTAAGACACAGGGAGGGGGAAACAAACCTGACCCAAAAACTGGAATCAAGAACCAAACGGGTGAACCCTTTTGGTTCTTGATTCCAGTTTTCGGCTCACAGTCAGTACATAAAAATACAGTTAAAACCACATAAAACCATATAAAACAATTCCATTATTAATACAATTTCCTAAAGTGCTGAAGATAGTTACTCAAGATGGCTTATTTCATTGCACTCTCTAAAAATCCTTCTCAAGACCTTCCTGCTGGATGTTAAAGCCAAGAGCCAGGGCTCTATAGTGGCGGCAGCTCCTTAGCTGAAAGCCTGGTGGAAGAGCTCCGTCTCACAGGCCCCTGCGGAACTGCAAAAGGTTAACTCACTCCCTTTCTCCTGGAGTTATAACTTACCAACTTTGATCACATTCGCTCCTCCGTTTAATCTATGCAGTAGTCCCCCCCGCCCCCAGCTATCTGTGACAGCATTTAACAACTGTGGTTCTCCCCACCCCTCATAACTACATGGATCAGTTGTGTCAACAGAGTGCAGGTAAACATTTCAGGCATACAAAACAAGGTTGAGGTTGGTTGTTTTCAGCTGCTCTCGGTTTCCATACAGCAGGGGTGCCAAACTCATTTGTGATGAGGGCCAGATCTGACATAAATGAGACCTTGTTGGGTCGGGCCGTGTGTGTCATAAAATGTAATGCCCGGTAGCGGAGATATAAACTTTATAAAGGACACTAACACAAAAGGGTTTTTTTAACTTCAAAACATATTTAAAACATTAGCACTCTTGCAATATTTTGTTTATTTAGCAGTGTCTGATAACTGACATCTCTTGCTCAAAATGTCTGTGCTGTTGCAGACTTGAGTATGCTGTTCAGGTGTGTAACTGTAAGCTGCAAACCTACAATGACGCAGCAGCAGCAGAACTGGAAGAAGCAGCAGAAGACAGCCAGTTCCACTGTGGGCCTGATAGAAGCCCTCCAGGGGCCTGATCCGGCCCCCATGTTTGACACCCTTGCCATAGAACTTATTAGCTGCAAAACCAATGGGGGGAGGGTGGGGGGCTCATTATTTGCTGGCAAACCCCCACGGGAAGCACAGTCCTGAGTTTTTCAGCAAGGGACAGCGCTGGTTAGGACGAATGGAGCAGTTAACTTTAGCATAACTGATCACTATGGAATCTTTGTAAATGTTGGTGGAGGGGGTGTGGTTCAGTGGTGGTGCATCCGCGTTACATGCAGGAGGTCTCGGACTTCTCAGACTGGGATAGAGAAAGTAGGCAAAGAAGTCGCTTTTCTCCCTTTCTCACAATACAAGAACTCGTGGGTGAAATTTAGTGTAGGCTTAGAACAGATCAAAGGAAGTGCTCCTTCGCCCGAAGTGGAATTCACTACAACAGGAAGTGGTGGTGGTGGTGGTTACAAGCATAGACCGCTTCAAGAGGGGATTGGAGAAACAAAGGAGCAGAGGTTCATCAGTAGACACAAGGTATAGATGGAACACTGGGACAGTGCTGCTCTGTATTTTTGGTGTTTGGAGGGCCACAGTGGGAGGGCTTCTGGAGTTCTGGCCCCGCTGGTGGACCTCCTGATGGTCTCTGGGTTTTGGCCACTGTGTGACACAGAGTGTAGGACTGGATGGACTATTGGCCTCATCCAACACGGCTTCTCTTATGTTCTTATGTCTGGGGCAAGGGATGGTCTGTCTTCTTGGTGCTTGGGGGGGCAACAGTGGGAGGGCTTCTGGAGTTCTGGCCCCGCTTGTGGACCTCCTGATGGTCTCTGGGTTTTGGCCACTGTGTGACACAGAGTGTAGGACTGGATGGGCTATCGGCCTCATCCAACACGGCTTCTCTTATGTTCTTATGTCTGGGGCAAGGGATGGTCTGTCTTCTTGGTGCTTGGGGGGGCAACAGTGGGAGGGCTTCTGGAGTTCTGGCCCCGCTGGTGGACCTCCTGATGGCACCTGGTATTTCTGGCCACTGTGTGACACAGAGTGTTGGACTGGATGGGCCCCTGGCCTGATCCAACATGGCTTCTCTTATGTTCTTATGATGCAACCCATGGCATTTCCAGTTTAAGGACTAGGTAGTAGGCGATGAGAAAGACCTCTGCTTAAGACTCGGAAAGTCGCTGCTGGTCTGACTAGATGGTACTGACCTTGAGGGACCAAGGGTCAAATTCAGTATAAGACAGCTTCATGTTTTTTTTTTAATGTAAACAGATTTTATTAGTTTCATAGAAAGATACTACAAAGTAAGGAAAAGAAACAACATAAGAAACAGAATAGAAACAAGATGGATATTATACTCATACATCATACATCCCGAGCCTGCGGGAAGGAGCGGTATAGAAGTCGAATAAATAAACAAACAAATAAATAACTTGAAACACAATTCACTTGTAGACTCGACATCCTTTTCGCTGTGTCTGTACATTTTTTGTTACGATTCATGGTTTAAGTTCTCCAAGATAATTTTGTATCCAATTGTAAAATCTTGCCCATTGTCTTTCAAAGTCACATTCTTGTTTTTCATGCAATTGTAAAGTTAATGTATCAATTTCTGCTGCATCTAATAGTCGGGAAATGAGTTCTTCTCTTGACGGTGTTTCTTCTTTTCCCCAACATTTTGCATATAAGATTCTAGCTGTTGTTACGATTTGTACAATCATATATATGTCCTGTACATTAACATTTTGTGGAACCATATTTAATAAAAAGAATTCTGGTATGAAAGGTACATTCATGTTAAGTATTTTTTGTAGTATTTCATGTATCCATACCCAATATCCACCACATATGGTAAAAAGAACCAATTTTTTTCTTTACATTTCCGACAGACATTTGACATATTTGGATACCATTTCGCTAGGTTTTCAGGAGTCATATGCCACCTATAGAACATTTTATATATATTTTCTTTATAAGAAACTGCTTTAGTAAGCTTTATGTTAACTTTCCACACCCTTTCCCATTGTTCTAATTGTATATTATGGCCTATATTTTGTGCCCATTTGACCATTGTTTCTTTAATCGCCTCATCTTGCATTTTCACATCTAATAACATTTTATAACAAAGTTAATATATTTCCCATCCAGACACCACCAGATCTTATCTATTTCTACAGGTGCATCATAGAATCCCATCATTTTCTCTTTCACGTATCTGGACTCTATTTGTGCTCTTTCCCACCAGTTCAGGTTAATACCTTTTTCTTTTAGCTTTTCTTGTTGAATTAATTTATTTTGATTATTTAGCAAATCTTGATATCTCCATGTCTGTCCTTTCCTGAATTTGTAAAAGGGTTTGTAAAAGCTTCTAATAGAGAGACTTATTTTGGAATCTTCTTATAGTGTAGTTTGAAGGTTCGTTCCCATTCTTTTATTAATGCTGCTCTCAATATGTGCTGCTTAAAATATTTATGGTTTCCACTTTTCTGATACCAAACAAAGGCATGCCAACCCAACATTAGATCGTGGCCTTCTAAATTTAAAAGTCTTCTGTCTTCTAATGTAATCCAGTCTTTCACCCTTGAAAGTGCTGCCGCTTGATAGTATAATTTCCAATCGGGTACCAGAAACCCTACTTTTTCTTTAAAGACTTGTAGTAATCTTAACTTAATTCAAGACAGCTTCATGTTTTGAAGATGATCAGGGAAGGGCCTGTGGCTCAGTGGTTGAACATCTGCTGGACATGCAGAAGGTTCCAGATTCAATCCCCCACATCTCCAGTTGAAAGGACCAGGTGGTAAATGATGCGAAAGACCTCTGCTTGAGACCCACTATCAGTCTGATTAGACAGTACTGACCTTTGATGAACCAAGGGTCTGAGTCAATATAAGGCAGCTTCATGTGTCCAGGACAGTGAAGGAAGGGGCTCTGTGGCCCAGTGGTGGAGCATCTGAGGTCCCAGGTTCAATCCCCAGCATAAAGGATGAGGCAGGAGGTGATGGGAAGGACCTCTGCCTGAGACCCTGGAGAGCGGTTGCCAGAGCAGGCAGTACTGACCATGATGGACTGACGATCCAAGTCAGCTTTGTTCTTTGGGAGGGGCACTGGCTCAGAGGAAGAGCATCTGCTTGGCACAGGGAAGGTCCCAGGTTCAATCCCTGGCATCTCCAGCTAAAAAGACCAGGTGATAAATGATCTGAAAGACCCCATCCTGAGACCCTGGAGAGCCCCTGCCGGTCTGAACAGACAGTACTGACCTCGATGGACCAAGGGTCTGATTCCATATAAGGCAGCTTCATGTGTTCCCACAAGCATTTCAGTGTTTAGTAATGTGGCGTCCTTGCTTATAAGGGAGACAGTTTTACCTTTAAAACTCTTTGTGTATCTAAACGTAGTAGATTTCTGCTGTCACCAGGAATTAAAAATTCCAAATCTCTCTCTTTTGGTAGAATGACCCAGGGCCTGGGCACTTCAGAGGACTATTGTGCCCCTGAGGAAGGACTATGATTTCTGGAATAAGTTTAAACAAAAAATGATTTATTTAATAAAAAAACAAAATATGTTCTGGTTATTTTGAACTGTTGCTAATGAAAGGAACTTGTAAATATAACTGGCAAAGCTTGGTGTCACAAACAGTCTCTCAGACTCCCAGAACTCCACTCTGACAGGTGTAGACACTCAGTCTAATTTCTCTCTCATCTATATAGCCACACAGGCTGAACACTTTGTCTTATTCACACAGAATAGACTCAAAACTCCCATAGTCACACAGACTATGCTCTCTCTTCAAACTTCACACACAGAATCACTCTCATAGACACCCCTCCTCCCACACTCTCAGTCATCAGCCAATCACATCACACTTATCTCCCTCTATCACTCTTCTTACAGTACTGCATTCAAACGAAACATTTAAAGAAACACACACACCAAAACATGAAATCATTACAAGTAACGCAGACCAGCTCCATTCAACAAATTTATTTCGGAATCAACAGAAACATAATTATATCTAAAAAAAACCATAGCTGTGTGTTTGTGGCGTATGGGCATACCTTTTTCATAACACCTATTAGCTGACACTTTTGCTAGGAAAAAACCCCTGCACTGTAGGCCCCCATCTGTCAAGCTCAGGAATTCAGTCCCTGCAAGACAACGGACTTTAGGATTAAGTCGGCCACCGTTACAGTAACTTGCTCAAGAACATGACGGCATTGCATAGCAGTGGCAGACGTGACCGACCTGTAACCAGAGATGTGCCTTTCGAAATATGAGACGTGCCCGAAATAAGGTAGAAAAAAGTTGTCCTTTTAAAGAAAAATACTGTTTTGTGCAAGTCGCTGGTTCAAGGAGAGCGGCGTCTCTTCGCCACACCTAAAGGCACGCTTCAGACAAGCTACTGTTTGATGGTGGGCGGGAGCCACTCGTGATTCATACGGAAGACGGTGGAAAGAGAAAAGCAGTTTCTTGGGGAAGAGGCCCCCCCATTCAAGTCAGAGCCAGCAGGAAGGAGCGGGGCCGCAAGAGCAGACTCCACAGCCGCCCGCCCATCATCCCAGCGTGGAAAGAGCTTCCCTGATCCGGAGACAAAAAGCACCGGAGACGACATTGGCAGCCGCCCCCACTAAACTGTTATTCAAAACCTACTCTTATATTCCCTTCCTGTAGCTGAGCGATTAAAAAAGGGGCAGTTTGCGGCACGTCGGGGAACAGCAGGGCTTTGTGCAGCGCTTCCCCAGTTGCTTTGAGACAGGGCGAAGCGAAGCGCCCCCCCCCCGGCAAGTCAGAGCTCCCTAAGCCCCGCGTGTGAGGTCACCGGACGCCCTGCGGGTGCCTGTCCAGAAACTGGGAGTAGCAAGTCAGGGAACAGAAGTGGCGGAGGGTGGGCGCCTCGGTGCCGCCCATGTTGTCCACCAGCACCACCGTGTGCGCCACGCTGTGGAGGTTCATGGTCACGGTGATCTGGATGAAGCAGCTGAGGCAGGCGCGGCCACACGGGCAGGTCTTGGACACGTCCAGGTCGTCGCAGAGGTGGGAGGGAAGGGCGTGGCGGCCGTACGGGATCCTGCGGGAGAAGACAGGGAGGGGGCGTGAACGAGTTGCGGCACTGGAGCGGCTTCGGTTCCCTGAAACAGTTACACGTGCTCTGTGTGGCGTGCGGATGCTGCCAAGTTGCTTCTGACCTAGGACGATGCTATGAAATGACGATTCCCTGCTACTATGCGAGGCTGTGAAAGCTGGACGGTGAAGAAAGCTGATTAATTTAAAAGTGGTGTCGAAGGAGAGCTTTATGGATACAGTGGAACACCCCCCCCAAAAAGACAAATGTGTGGGTTCGAGATCAAATCAAGCCTGAACTCTCCTAGATAAACATCTGGAGCAACATCTGGAGCAGAGGGCCATCAGTGGCTATTAGCCACATGGTATAGAGGGAACCTGTACAATCCTGCCAACCTAGTAGTTTGAAAGCAAGAAATTGCAAGTAGATAAATAGGTACCACTTCGGTGGGAAGGTAACAGCGTTCCGTGCGACCCGAGCAAGGCTGTGAACGAGAGGACACCTTGATAGCGCTTCACACACACAAGAAATAATGACCTCCAAATAGAGATGTGATTCCCCCCCCCACTTTTTTCCTGAAGCCTTTTTTATTTTTTTCTGAAAAATTGGAAAAATTGAAAAAAGAAAAAAAAACTGATTATGGAACGTTTTATTTTAACATGATGAATAAAATCTATTTTCCAAATCATTTCTAAAAAATACGTATGGTATCACATTGATCTAATTTCTGTGCACTGAGGACAAAGCATGTCCTAGGTTACCAACTGAACTCTCCAATGCAAGAACAAGATGCACTTCTTCCTTTAGGAGGTGCTATTGTCACAAGAAAAGAAAAAGGTTTCAGTTTTGTTTCTGCATGTGGGTGGGTATTCTGTTTGTAATAATTGTTTGGATACACTCTATTTTTAATACGCTAGTTGTGATAATTTCATGCCAAGGAAAAATGTCCATAGTCATATTTTATGTTCCTAAAGTAACAGAACGACTTTCAATCTAGAAAAGAAAAGAAAAAGTGCTAATGTAGCATTTTTTTTCAATTTTTCTGAAAAATTCCATTTTTTTCTGGGGAAAAAACAGAAAAAACAGGTTTTTTTCCAAGCTTCAAAGGAAATTTTACATCTCTACCTCCAAAACATCCTGTGATGAACAGCCTTGCTCAGAATAAAACTTTGTTGGTCTTAAAGGTGCCTGACTGGACTCAAACTCTGTTCTGTCGCTTCAAACCAACACGGCTACCCACCTGAATCAATCAACCTTGCTCAGGTCTTGCAAGCTGAAGGCTGTGGCTTCCTTATTGTGTTAGGTAAAGTCTTCCTTTGCTCGAAAGCCAATCGAATCCAACTCTAGGGGGCGGTGCTCATCTCCATTTCCAAGCCGAAGAGCCAGCGCTGTCCGAAGACTCTACCGTGGTCACGTGGCCAACGTGACTCAATGCCGAGGCGCACGGAATGCTGTTACTTTCCCGCCAAAGCAGTACCTATTTATCTACTTGCAATTTCTTGCTTTTGAACTGCTGGGTTGGCTACTGCACTCCAAATGAATTCAAGATCAAGGACAACGCTGGATTGGGATTCTCTCCACCTATTTCAAACAGAGCTCTCGGAGAGGCCCCAGCCATTACCTAAAGAGCCAAAGTCCCAAGTCCCAGGCGAGCTTTAACTCAGTGTTGTTGTCGTTGCCGTGGAGGAGGTGGTTGAGGGGCAAGAAGAGGACGGGATATCAGGCCCCCAGCCAGGATCCCGCCCACAACAAAGAAGCCGGTCGGAACCTGCCCGTCGTGCCTCTTCGTGAGCCTGACAAAAGGCCCGGCTGTGCCCTCTCTAATCACACCCAGCTACCGAACAGAATGCATTTGTTTACACCTCACCGCCTCTCAAGGCAACTCACACCCTCCTCCTCCTCCTCCTCCCTTCCATTCGATCCTCTCAACCACCTGTGATCAGTGTTCCCTCTAAGCTGAGTTAGTGTGAGCTAGCTCACAGTTTTGTAGCCTCCGGCTCACACATTTTTATCTTAGCTCAGGAAGGATGGGGCTCCAGAGCAAACTGATTTATGCAGCAGCCAAATCGCTCGCTCACAGCTTTAATGCCAGGAGCTCACAAGGTAGAATTTTTGCTCACACAAGACTCCACAGCTTAGAGGGAGCATTGCCTGTGACGTCGATTAGGCTGAGTGACTGGCCAAGGTCACCTGGTAAGCTCTGATGGCAGAGGCAGCTGTTGAACCTGGGTCGCAGGTCCAAGTCCAACATTCTTACTGGCTCCCGAAATCTCAGGGTCTTCGTTTGGGATTTAATCATAGAATTCTAGTGCTGGAAGGGACCTCCAGGGTCATCTGGTCCAACCCCCCCCCCCCACACACACAATGTAGGAAATCCACAAACACCTCCCTCCCCCACACCCCCAGTGACCCGCTGCTCCATGCCCAGAAGATGACAAAAAACCTCCAGGATCTCCTGCTAAACGGCCCTGGAGAAAAATGGCTTCCCGACCCCAGAGTGGCGATCGGCATTTCCCTGGGAGTGTAAGAAAGGGCCATGAGAACTAAGCACTGAAAAAGAGAGGTTGGATTTATATCCCGCCCTTCACTCGGAGTCTCAGAACGTCTTACAAACTCCTTCCCCTCCCCACAACAGACCCCCCGTGAGGGAGGTGGGGCTGAGAGAGCTCTTTTGAGGACTGCTCTTGAGAGAACAGCTCTGATAGAACCATGGCTTGCCCAAGGTCATCCAGCAGCTGCACGTGG